CTAGCAGTTTTAATTCTCACTTGATGTGAGATGATGCTTTGGTATTTCAATTACTATAACTGAGTCTCTACAAATTAACATGTATTTGGAAAAACTTCATTCCCTCCCTCTCCCATTTAAACGCTACATGAACTCACTAGGTAACCCACATTGTAAATTGCAGGAGCAAAGAGTAACTAACAAAGACAGTTTCCATCCCAACATATCATGAAGAAATACACAGTCCCCTCTCTTTAAAAAGAAAACTTCAGTAACCCAATGTCTTGAAATGAAAAAGATATTTGTATGGAAAAATTATAATTGGTAGTGGGTCCCTTATTGTCAAATTACAGCTCTAATCCAATCACTAAATTGCCATATGCTCTGTTCTCAGAAATCAGCCAGTTCCCTACCACGACTCTCCAGAAATAACTGTGCTTTGCAATTGCCCAGCTGGGCTTTAAAATGTTCCACAAAGGTCTGCTTGTCATCCATTTGGTGGAAAAGGACATCACATCATCATGGTCCTTGCAAATTAATCTGGTTTTTATTTTTGAGACAAAATACTAACAAATGCAGTCACAAAACTGAAAAAGTGAACAACTGCAAAGTATCAGTGTAGACATTTATTGGAAGCACTAAAGGAACTGAGAAGTCACACATCTCCAGGTTTGCCCCCTAATTTACTAATTTTAAGACAAAGATCTATAATACATATAAAATGCACTCAAACTATTAGGCAATATTGCAGTCTAAAACTGGGATCAGGATTCATTCCTTGTCCACACAGAAGTCATTAAAGATCCATCAGGAAACAGACACCCATTCTTTGACTGAATGTCCTCTTCTCCTGGGGATTTAAAAAAAATACCCTCCCAACCCCCATCCGATTCTCTTTTCATTAAGGGTATATCCCAACAGGCCTAAAGCAACTTGACTAAGAGACATGTAATTATTAAATTATAATCATTCCAGTATTGGAACTTAGACTGTAAACAAAATAGCAGCCCTAAAACCAGGGACCAGAATCTGAGCCTTCTGCTCCTGCCAACAGGTACAAAGCCCCTATTCCTCTTGGCCTTCTCCAGAGCATACCCTGACACATGGCCAGCTGCCAACAGGGTCAGGATCCACAATACAGCCAGAGAGACCTTCTCTCTCTTCCTCTGAGAACTTCTTCAGATGTGGCAAAGTGGTGGGCTTTGGCCACCTCCCAGGGAATGCTTGAAGCCCAAGACAAAGGTGGATACCAAAAATATTGGATACACACAACTCCTTTCATGGGTTTCATATACGAGACAGAGACCAGCTTCAGAGCTTTCCTTGCTCACCAACTGCATTCACAATCCCATCACGATGTCCACAAGGTCAGTGGATGCAGAGGGACAGTGTCAAACTAGACAATAAACAAAACTCTGTATTATACTATGAGGTCTTTGGAGGAATTTGCCTCTTCCATGAGCTGTATAAGTGACTCTGGTCACTTTCTTTTGTGATTTTTTTTCTTTTAAACAAATACAGGATTTTTGATACTTCAACTGAAACATAGAAACAAAAAAGGTATTTTATGAAAAAACAAAATTTTCCTTCAATACAGTTCAACAATATCCTCTCTCTTCCTAGTTGCTGAAAACATAACTGAAGAGGACAATAAGAACTTGGGAACTCCTGGCTGGTTAATTAAATACCCATTTTTCATAAAGAGAATTTATTCTTACGTACTTAAAATTTCCCAATATCAAATCCTCTCAGTGACAGCATGACGTTTGTAATGAATTTCAAAAGCACACTCCTCTGAACTTCACAGAAATCATTCAGCTCACATATGGCATGTATTTACATATCCCTGTACTTGATCAGCATACAGCATATAGACCTAGCATATCTACATATGCAAGAGCAAGATGTATCCTCTCTGAAACTACTGCAGACAGAGAAGTATATTGGGAGCCTTAGATTTGGCTTATTTGCAAAAAGCTCAGAAAATCATGCCAAGGCAAAGCAGAAAACTTGGACCATAGTCCTCTTCAGGTCTAGTTAATAGGATTGTTTTTACAGAACAAAAGAACAAAGCATAAATATTTAATTATCATGACACCCAAACACTGTATTGTTTTCCTGTTGATATGGATAATGCTCCTGTACACATTTTTATTTGTGATCCAATTAGTAGATTAACATAAGTACAACCTGCCACCTCTGCACATGAGGGGATGGTGAAGATGAGACAAGCATTGCTCAGTTTTAGCAAGAGTGGGAATACTCTGGCTCAAGGGAGAAACACATGGGCATTATTTTCTCAGAAAGTCAGGTCAGAGAGTATAGTTCAGCTGTTCACTGGGACAAAAATATTACTTGCAAGACTTTAAATCAGCAACACAATTTTAAACCCAACTTTATTCTTATGTTATTATAGATAAATAATGTGAATTAGTATTTAATTGTTTCAACTTGAGATTTTAATTTTTCACCTATCAGTATGGGAAATCTCTTGGCAGCTCTGGAGGCTGTATGAAAATTAAATTTTTTGTTTAATTATAAATTGGTTTTGCTGTAATAGCAGAAGCTTTAATTGAAATACTTTAATTAAGTGCTCAGAGCAACACAATGCTGGCTTTTTTTCTGGAGTCTAGCTTATCTAACAGTCTGGAGTTTCACATTTACTCCGCTCCTGTCCTGAACAGACAGACTTCTCTACAACCAATTGTAAACTGCTGCTTCTGCCTGGCTAATGGCATGTAAAAAGACAGAGAGCAACTGCATTCAACTACACACCTTACACCATGTTAGTAATTTGGGCAGTAAAAAGGAATGGTTAGGACTCTCTAAAAATAATTAGAGTGAGTGAAAGGTAACAGTTGTAGCAACTTGTTCAAAATGTACTGTGATCTCCCAGATAAACTTCCTGCCTTCTGGCAACCCTCCCAGGAGGAACTGGCAGTCAGGGCTATCAGATTGCTCTCCGATGGATGGCCAGGCTATGGCAAAATGTAAGCTCCAGCAGGGAATGCTGCTCTCTTCTTCTCCAGACAGGATATCAAAACTGAAAGCACTCGGAGGGTTAATAAATAACAATATCAATACTATGAAGATTTCAGGAGCGTGGGAAGGGGGAAGGACTGACTTGTTTTTAACGGATCAATTGCCATCTTTGAACACTTCAGAAAGAACAGAATTTGTCTCTGGGGATCCTCCTGATGACACTAACAAATAACGAAATGGGATCTAGAAGCACAGAGGAAACTGAGAACAGAAGCAGCAGAATTTCATACTTGTAAAATGCTATTTATTAAAAAACTTTGAAGCTTTCTGGAAAGAGGCATCAAGGCAGGTGGTGTTACCCTGAAAACATAGGCAGGAACAGCAGAATAGTAATGCTTATGACCTGTACCAAATCTGTCAGGAAACATCTGTATGGCTGCCTTGAGAACTAGGCTACTAAAAACCAGTGTTTCTGTTATTGTAACGGGTAGAAAACCCAGATCACCTTAAGGTTTCAAGCACTAGCAAGTATGTCAACTGCCTCTGCAGTGTAACAAATGAGTTAAAACCGTTTATACTTCATTGCAGATCACAAGAGTTACTTGCAGGGAAACCACATGAATGCCTTAAGAGGCAAGGAAGTAGTTACCATATATTGAAATACAAGCTTATGTTAACAAGATTTATGCAGAAGAACCTTCCACACATTGTAATAACAGGAAGACATTGGTATTTTAAAAAGCCCTCTGCCTTTCTTCTCTCATTGATCAAATAACCTAAGAGCAACAACACATAACTACAACAAGATTCCACTGCATTTGACAGTAGATTAATTGAATTACACAAGAACATACTGATTCACACAGCATAGGATGCCTCCAGCAGAGAGCACTTAAGAAGCAAAGAGAGGACAAGTATTTAGTGCAATTATGCAAAAGAGACAGACAAAATGTAATTTCAGAAAACAAGTAATGGCTGGGTCAAGTAACTTAGCAGAGTAATACTTAAAAAATGCAAAGGTGGAGGCACTGCAGGGTTTTTCTTGCCCTATTTCTCTTGCATTCCTGTACTTTACTGGCTACTAAAATTCAACTGTCTCAAGGAGAAAAGCCTGCTATCTGGTCTCAGAAGCCAAGGGACTGAGATTAACAGAAGAAATGAGTAGGTCTGGGCTTCAAAATCCACCTTCTCCAATTTCCCTTTCTTCTATCTCAAGTGCATAGTAAAGTTGTAATTAAACCACAGGTAGTGGGAAAAAATCTTTTAGTTTTAAGATCTAAAAAATCTTAAAAAAAATCTTGTAAAATCACAGTCAAGAACGTGGCCAAATTTGTGCCTGAAAGCTTAAGGTACTTGTCAGAGTTGACAGGTTAAAAATTTTAGGAAAATTAAGGAATTCTCAGCTGGTGGAAATCACTTTAGCTCCTTTAATTCATTGAACAACATCAGCTGAAAATCTGAACCTTCTTTTTGGTTGTGCTATTTTTAAGTAGCTAAACCTCAGCCTTCAATACAATTGTTCAGTCCTATGAGGTGGTCTTGAAAGACAAATACAGTGCAAGTAAAATATAGCCATCACCAACATGCCCCAGTCACTCACTGAATCCTTCTTGTGCCCCTTGCTTCTTATTAGTACTATTAAATTACCTACAGCTGTTCCTGAGTCTCTGCTGGGAGCTACAATGATACACAGCAACCCCCCAAAAGAGGAAGCCTTTTTGCTTTTAACATTCCCTCCTTTTCAGACCACTTAGGCCACCTGTGTTTTCTATTAGTCACCCTGGTGACATGTAACATTATCACTCTGTGAGGGCAAGACATAACCCTGGCTCTTCTGTCATGTTACCCAATCTCTTCTTCCACCACTTACTCTCCCCAAGAAAATGTGCTGCAGTATCTCTTCCCAACAAGAAATCCCCCTTGGTCTCCATGGTGAGAAAAAAATCTCCTGGCAGGTCCCAGATCTATTAAATCACACAAATACAAGCTTTGGGAACAAAACTGCATCTGTCAGATGATGTCATCTCTCAGACACTTACCAGGGTGACAATGGCACATTCAGCAGTCAGTTGAGCAGCACTGAACAACGTCCGAACAAAGCGGTAAATCTGTTTCTGCTCCGGATCATGTTTGTCATAATCTGGTGGCACTTCGGATTTCTAAGGAAGAAATACTTCCAAATAGGTGACTGAAACAAAATGAAGCAGACAGAAAGACAGTTCACATGAAAGGGAAGAGGAGGCAGGTGAACTTACCGAAAGGGGATGAAGGTTTTCATCAAAAATATCTAAGAGCATTCTTCCATCTGTGTCCCTAAAAAGTATTAAAACCAAATCAGTGTCATTATCTGAACATGACAGCACACAGCTCTCATAGACACCAGTGCATCATTAAAACTCCAACACTGTTCATGCTGCAGGGTGCTTAGAAACAAGATACAGAAGTGTTTTTCACACAGAAGTTAAATCTATTTTGCCATAAGGCTCATGTGTAATATGAAATCCGTATTACAAAGTTCTCAGGTTTCAGTCCCCAAGACAAACTGCTTTTTTCCTCCCTATACTGTGAGAGAGCCTAAGAGGTTCTACTGTAAAATTAAAATAGTCAGCCCAGCTTACTCCCCTCTTCTTAATTTCATCATGTTAATCCTTGCAATCTCTCAATTTTTCTTTATTGTCAACATCCTGAATATTTACAAATACACAACACTATTACTGCAGCCATCCTTTACATGCATATTTCCCTTCTTATTTACTTGGAAAACCCTATCCTGTTAAAGATTTCTGAAAGCAAAAATGAGTACATACAAAAAAAATTCAGGCAAAATAATATTTCTAACCATTGGTTTTATTGGCTATTTCTCTTAGACCCCTGTTGCTCAAGGTCAGCATGCAAGTTGATGTAACTTCATAAGCCTAAAACCCAGTATGTAATGTAAGATTTTTGGCATGTGTAATCTTGGCAGGAACACTAACTAACAGAAAAGTGAGCGATGTAACAGTACCAGTTAGAACTGGACACTTTCTGGACAAATGCATCCATGTGACCTACTTAGTACAATCCCATCTTTATTTATAGCATCGCTGGTACTCTGGTCATACAGTTCTTAAGAGAGAAACCACTGAATATATCTGCTGTCTTTACTCAACAGCATGTGCCTCTCAGAGCATGCAAGCATGAGTTTGACAGTGTGTTCATGTCTATGCAATGTACTTATTAGCAGCTAACATTTAAACATCAACATTGGAAGGTGACAATTTTTCTCCCATAAAGCCTCTTAGCACTGGAAATAAACACTTTTAAATTTATTTAAAAGGAGTATCAAAATTAAAACAAAAAAGCATATTGAGATAATTATAAGAAAATTTCTAATGAGCAAGGATTTTATGCCAGACTCTTTTATGTCTATATAAAAAGGCTAGTATCTTAATGCAGAAATAGTCTCACTGGTGTCATTTATGTGCTGGAGTAAACTGTGGCCCTTCACAATGAGAAGAAAGAAAGAATTTCCTATTTTATTTTTTTCTTCTGACAATGTTGCATGCTATGAAGGCCCATTTGATTGCCCTCAAAAATTCTACTACACACACAAAAAAAGTTGCTGGTTTTTGGCTTAATTAGAACAAACTCACAATGTTATATTTGAAAACAGAACAATCTACTATTTGATCTAAGCATTTTAATTTATAGTTTGTTGCAGTTTATTTAGTTTTATTTCTTGGTTTAGCGAATTCACCAAAATTTGTGCATTCCTCCGAGAACAAGGTAGTTTTCAGAGTATTATGCAACTTGTTGAATAGCACAACAAAAGCTGCAGAAAACAAATCAGTACAGCTATGATAGGAGACACTGGGAAATGAAGGAATGATAATGGGAATGTTACAATCAAATGAAACGTGGGGAGCATATGAAGGAATATTCTATTTCATGTGTAGTTTCTCAAAACACTTGAACTGGTGAAAGTCTGCATTATTAGGTCATTTAGTTTTAGGCCTGCTGTACAGGAGGAAACAAATCATGTCTGAAGAGAATTCTTCTCTGGCAAAGCAGCTGCTTGACTCATTTTCTGTCAAAATCTACCTTGAGTCTCTAAGCATTACAGTGGTTTCTCACTCCCCACCCCCCACAATGAACCAAAATCTACCACATATGTTCAAGAACTTCCTCTCACCCATAATGACAGGAAACAGAACATACGCTTTGCTATAGCAGCAAATCCAACTGAATGCTGTTATCCTGTTGTCCCTCCATTTCTAAACCAGAGACAACTGAAGACAGAACAGTCACTTCCCATCCTTCATTTCAGAGTCATTAACTGACATACACAAGTCTGCTGCAGCATCACTGCTGAGACCACCTGTCCCGAGTGCAGCAGAGGGCACATCGACAACACACCTCCCTATCCCAGGCACCTTCAGGAGTGAGAAGCAGCAACCAGTAACTCCTGAATAAATCACTCCCCCATCCCAAAAGCAAAAGGACAGAGAGAAAGTTTCCCAAGAAGGTAAGAGTCAGAACATACTTGTTTTCAAGACACTGACACAGGACTTTCTATTTTATAAAGGTTTAGTCTTTCTGTCTATTAGTTGTGGACCAAATTTGCATCAGGTTCTTCAAGAACAACCAATGGGCATATTTTATTCCAGACCAAAATCAGCTCCATGACAACCCACATGAAAAGAGTCTGGATCCCTTTGGCTCTGGATTTCTTACCCCCCTGTAGTGCCTCATGTACCCCATCTCCTCAGCCTTTTACTCAGCTGGCATGACCCTTAACAGAGCACTTAAAACCAACTTACTTCCACAAAACTTTAGAGTCTGATTATCTTTGAGATCTCTATCATTTAGCCAGGTGTAGTAAAAATTGACTAGCTAGCCAAACTAACACAGGGATGATGGAGGAAATGGGAAAAAGGGAACCACAGATGGATAAACAAGTAATCCAAGCATGAACACTAACGCCTTGTTTCCTGGGAAATTAGATTAAAAGTTTGCCAAAAAATTTTACTCCAACGTTTGGTTTACATACTGCCACGTTTCAGTCCAAGGCCTACTGACATCTTTGAAAGTCTTCCAAGACCTTTCAGCAGGGATCAAGCCCTAAGCCTTTCTGCCCTTTTGCACTTCTGAAGATTTCTTTTGAGATGTCAGCCTTGTTTCAAGAAGTGTGATGGGTTCTAGCGACCTGAAACAACGTCCCCAATGACATACCAGCTTAACTTCAAATTTGTGAGTAATTCCTTTTGTTCTACTTGGACTTCGTACAGTCCAGAAAAAAAAAAAAGTTCTCTGAGAAGATACACTGAACAACCCTGGGCACAAATGAAACTTAAAGTACAGTTTCTCCTTATAAATGTCAGGAAATTTTACGATACTGCGACATATCATGAGGACAGGGAATTTAAGATACAAAAGAACAATTCAATATTAAATAAGCTAATTTATGTACCAAGTTACTTTTTAGACAACCTATATTCTATTCTATTCCATTCAAACTGACTGAACAAGATCTAAAACATACTACACCAGAAGAGATAAGCCAGGACCTGCTCTGTTTCTGAAACATCTTGAATTACACCTATTCACAATGTCACTCTTACTGATTTTTACTTCAAAATCCATTAACAGGTTTTTATGGTATGTAATCCACTATTTTTAATTTTTCTAAGCAAATAATTATATATAAAAATACAAAAGAATATGTTTCTTATTTCTAGCACAAGAAATATGAAAACTACTACTCAAAAACATTTGACAGAAACAGAGCATTGGTTTTCAGGCTTTGAACAGTTGATTTGTTTAAAGATATATTCAGTATAAGATTCCATTATTCACATACCTGTTTTTGATGTGGTAATATATTGCAAGAGCTACACTGTAAAGAAAAATAAAGAATTAATATATCAGGACTGTCAAATTATATTACGTGTCATATTAACATGCAAATATAAAACCTAGCACGATGCATGACAAAGACTATGCCCGATAGCATATTTTCTTCTGTTCACTGTTAGATACCAGGAAAAAAGCTGCAAACAGACAATTATATAATATTTGCTCAGCACACTCCAAGTGCCTCCTTTTCACTAATAATGAAGTACCTTACAAAAAAACTCATGTTCCACACACCAAGTAACACATACCTTCCATTTCATGTCCTAAAGTCAATGATAAAACTCTTACTGACTTCCAAGGTTGAAGAGAAAGCATCACAGGTATTGGACATTCTCTTTTATTGTTTGATAATGCTGCCAGGCTAACATGAAATGTTTTAATCACTGTTGGCTTATTATTTTATATTTAAATCCATTAACTTTTGGCTGCCTTTCTATGTAGTTACTCACATACCAGACTCAAATACCAAGCTACTACAGTTTTATGGCATCAAGTTACTTATTTTAACCCTGGAAAGATGACTCCCTGAATAACTTACTGCATTATGCATTTCCCATGTGCTCAACCACAGACCAAACTATCTCTGTTTATACCCTGGCACAAAGACAAAAAGTGCCTTATATTCAGAGAAAGCTACAATTTTAATTACATATACAACTAACTGATCTCATTCATAGCTGAGAATGAAGAGTAAGGCATGGCTTCTTATGGTTATTCCCCAGTTCCCAACTCATGACTCCAGTTTTGTCAAAGGACACATGCTTTACTGATAATAGAGCTTTAATGAAGGATGAAGCAGAACCCGCACCTTCTTCTTCCAGCAGCATAAAACCCAGTCAAAGCTGAAGGAGAAGGGAGTTCACTAATTCTATTTGTTGGCAATTTGTCTTGCCAGCCATTCACTGTAAGATGCTTATGTCTTATGCTGACAGCTTCCCCCTCTTTTTCTTAAAAGGCCACTTAAGAAAGTCAATTGGTTGCGCTGTAATTTTATTCCAGAATTTTGACATGAAAAACTGACTTACTGCGTGTTGAGAAAACAATATGTTGGAGCCACATTGGTTTGGTTGTTTTTTGCCTTTTCTTTCTTAACAGCCACGTAGTGGAAAACACTTTTTCTTAGTTGAAAGTAAATGTATTTTACCAACTTTACATAAGCATTATATCTTTTACATGGCTGCATCAGATGTTTTTAGTTCATATGGGCTGTTAAAATATTATTTATTTTGTATAGAAACATACTTAAAGGAATTAAGAGATGCACTGTACCATGGACATTTAAAGGACACAGCCCTTGCTGAACAGAAAAAACACATTTGAATGAATTTTATTTGACTAAAAGCTACTCACAAAATGAATGAGTTCTAAAATTTAATTTTAAGTTACGCCCCTAGGAACACACTTGCAGCTCCAGTTCACCTTATGAAAGCAGATGCAAGAATCCATGTGCAGAGCTCTGCTTGGTCCCCATATGGTTGTTTTTCTAACAAAATGTCAAATTAAGTTTAGAAAATATTTACTATTTAGAAATCCATGCCAGAATACGACAGACTTTCAGAGCTGTAATAGATTAACTCGGATCCAAGCTTAATTCTGCTTTTTTTCTCTGGTTCAGCTAGCGCTCAGTGTGCAGGGAAGAAGCTTATGGAGCTTCACACCACCCTGCCCTGACCACCACACCAATGCTGCAGAACTACAGGAGATGTGATAATATTTTAAACACACCAGCACATAACAAGACACAGAAGAAATAAATGAGTTGGCCAAAATACATCCCTTGGAGATTTACCTATATGCAAGAGCCGTTTACCTGCAGAGACTGGCAGGATGAGGGCAAGAAATGAAATTGTACTACAACGTAATAATCCCACAATCTCCTCACCTTTCAATTAGTGAAATGTGCAGACAGACAGGAGAGAACTAAAAGACTCCTCACCCCTGGCCTCATATGCCAGAGTCCATTTTCTCAACCCACATAACCCCTTTTCAAATACTCTGGCCCCTTTGCAACTCCCAGCCCTTCCCATGCCAGCAGCGTGGTCCCAGCCCTGCACAACTCCCCACTCAACCCAGTGCTGGCTCTCCCAGCCTGATGTATGCCCACATCTCCCTCAGCTCTGATCTCTGCCACACAGCCTGAGTCTCTCTCAGACAACAGCACCTTGCTCCCCCCAGCTTGTCTTTCTGACTCCTCTTCCACGGTGCTGCCGCTGGCCAGCGTGGCCCACTGAAAATGCTACTCTGCTGCTGCAGCCAAATGAACCCATCTCTTTCCATGAGTCTCTGCTATGATGCAAAACATGACCTGAAACCCTCCCAAAAGGCTGCACCTACACAAAACTGCATGCAAAGGATTTTACAGCAGAAGAGTATGAGATTCCAAGCAGGAAAAAATACCCGTTTAAAAACCTTTTTTCAGTGTTCATCTGAATTATTTTTTTTAAGTTATTAATCAAAGAAACCTGAGAAAAAGCAAGACTATATTTTCAGGCAGAAACAGCTGATGAGTGTCAGCTGATCATGCATCAGTCTAACTTCAAATCCCTTCTCCTCTCCTCTGATTTAATAACATGTTTTAGGGACCACCAACATTACCAACTCCTTTAGGTGTAGTAGTCTGAATACATCCATCTCTCATGTAACTATCTCTGTAGTGCAAATTGTCTTAATTTTTGTATTTCAGTACACCAAGGTAATTATCCTATGGACAACTCAAGAGTAGAGCAGCAATTGTAATAAACAAACTGCATAAAATGCCTGAGCATTTGTTCTTTCATTTTTTTCCCTTCACTGTACAAAATGTAAAGAACAATATAAATATCAATTTCATTTCTTTCCAAATAAAAGCACCAGCGAAACCTGAAGTGATCAACTGAGACCTCACCCAAGGGTAAGCACAGGTGTGCACCACATACAAATCTCCTCAATGTTGTATAACTGCCAGTGCCCTTTGCCCTTGGACTCCATAAGAAAATTAATCTAGAGGCAACTAATTTCCATTTCAAACAGAAAATTGTAGGAAAACTTAGCAAATGAGTATCGCCTCATGAACAGCTTTTAAATTTCAGATATTTCTGAAATTCTGAGTAAATAAGTGTCCAAGTAAGTTTTGAGGTATCATCCAAGGCAAGTAAGTGGTTGAATATTAAAGCATAAGTATTTCAGCTGCTGGAATTTGAAATCCTTAACTGCTACTTTCTGTTGAGATATGTAATATTGGGAGATTGAGTCTGCACTGATGTAAACTAAGAGCAATATGCCTTCCTCATCTGATTCACTGCCTCTGGAGCATGACTGGATTAAATAAATTTACTACTTGAAAAACGAAAACCTTTGAAGCTTGCTTAGTAATGGTTCAGGGTATGTATACATACATACGTCCATACACATAATGTAGATTCTAGAAAAAAAAAATAAATTCTAAAACCCACCATTTGATGGTATACTTGAGGTTTGGTTGACTGACTGTGCTGTCATCCAGGAAAATAGTGGAGCAGGAACTGTACTTCCTTCTCAACTGCCCAGGAGGATGCTATGAAAAACATGCAAAAGAACAATAGCAATTATGTAATACCAAAGCATTTTTTCTGAGGAGATGTAAGAATTGAGAAAAAACAAATTTCTCTGTCTCTCACATGATGCACACAGTAACGTGATCATGTTTTGAAGCAGTTCAGAAAGTTCAGAAATAATTACCAGTGCAAAATAACAACCCCTGCCTGAGCCTTGACTCATGCTTTCAAGTCTCCATCTCCCCTCTGTCCCTTCTTCCCCAAAACAAAGCCAATATTTTTTGTGCAGAATTACTCAAAGACATACATATATTTGGAAAGGAAAGATGAACACGACTTATATTTCTGTTCTCTTCCAAAAGAGTAAGTGGAAGGAAAAAAAACAAATTATGTTGACAATGAAGATTGATTCAGAAACAGATACAAAACCGTGCGTGGAAAAAATAGAGTTTAATAAAAGATAAAACACAAAG